GAGGGTGGAGGGACAGTGCAGGAGAGGAATGCCCTCTATGAGGTGGATTGATTCAGTGACTGGGATAATTGGGATGGGAGTGTCAGAGACAGTGAGATTGGCACAGGACAGAGCGGAGTTTAGGGCTGTTGTACATAGGGTCGCTATGAGTCACAAGCGACTCAACAGCATATAACAACAACAACAACAGTCTCAGGAAAATTTTATGTCCGTTGTGGCTTCTTATGGAAAATATAATGATCCATAAATGTCTACATTTTGTCATGAGTAGGTTAACCGTTGGGCAGCTAAAACAGGAGTCAGTATTTCAAACCCACCATTGTTGGGTTTGAAAGAAGCAGCATTCTTCTCTCATTAAGACCTACAGCTTTGTTTGGCAAATGATATCCCTACACTCACGTTAGAATAGACTTCAAATATATCCATGTACGTAGCACAGCTAGTAGGGGGCAAAGCCATGCCAACTTCACTACACAGCCTGTCAAAGAACATCAATGTCAGCAGGCATTACACAGTCCACTGAGACAATGTTCTACATCTTCCCCTGGTGAGTATCAAGTATCCCAAAACTTTTCCAGCATCCATCCTCAGAGACCTATTCATATACTGATGGTCTTAGGAAACGAAGGAGAAGTGTAACATTGGAGCGCTCTCAGCCAGCTCGTCTCTACTGAAGCCTGGTACCTGTAATGAAGCCATTATGGCCTCAGATGTGGCTGCATCTGAAGTCTTGTCCATTTATGTCTTAGACATATCAAATTTTGCTTAACTGTGTACATGTAGAATATGCTCCTTCTGAGGCTTGTTCCACACAAGCCATGAAGCTCTGGTGAGAGGTCTGAGGGTACATAAGTGTTTTGTTCTAAGGTTCATGTGCCCCTGACCCCTGTAGGGACACTGTTATACTGAACTTGAATTTGGGCACTAAGACCTAGACTGGCTGTGACTATATCCATGAGAGGCAGACAAGAGGGTGAAACATGATGGGAGCACAACTGTTTAGAGCTATATTTAGCTTTCCTAAGAACCAATATGATTGTCCATCACTCAATACTTCTTAGCCTGGTTGGGGATTGATTTGCTGTCTTTCTCTGCAGGAGAAGCTCCAGGTGGTTCTAAGGAAGCTGAGAAGAGAACAGGAATTGACTGAGAAGTTGGAAATCAATGTTGTTGAGAAGAGAGCAAAATGGAAGGTAAGAATCATAGCCAGAAAGGGACCTTAGACAGGAAACCTGGACAGAATTCAAACTCTAGGCTAAAGAAGGCCTTAACCACAGCTATACTTACCTGAATAGGTGTAGGGTTGATATATCTCACTGGCTAAGAACCAGTTCTTCGTCCTTAACAACATGCTTCTGGAAACTCTATGAACTTTGAGAAACAAATACAGTTTTAGAAAGGCTTCAGGTCTTTTGTTCATAAGGTCGCAATGAGTTGTGCTCAATGGCAGTCAACACCAACAAGAACCAATTATCCTCTGCCTCGTGATAAAAAGGAAGATGGAAGGAGAATAGAAGGAGAACTTCCAAATGTAAAGGTAAGCGTTGATAAGAAACGAGTGCTGGAGGGAGACGTTCTTACCCCTCTAACTCAGCTTCAGAAGATTTCAATACCAGAGCCTTGGAGTCTGAGAGGAAGTCTGGAACAACCACTGCATTTTTCAGTTGCTGCTGTTGTTGTTGTGTACTGTCAAGCCAGAGCCGGCCCATACCTGACCCTCTAGTGGGTTTTCAGAGGCAGTCAAGGACATGGGAGGAGATTTCCCATCTTTTTCCCACGGAACAGCTGGTGGACTCGAACGATGTACCTTTGTTTTGGCAGCACAGTCCATACAACTAGGCAAAAGTAAGAAAACCAATGTGAGCAGGTGGTTTCCTGACCATCTCCACATCTCTAATTCAAACTATAATGGAGAAAGATGTAAGGCTTATTTAGTACAGATGCTTTATTAGTAGAGAAGTGACAGGTCAGGGGAAAAGGAAAAGCTTATAATGGGAAAAATCCTGGAAGAGAAAAATTAGGGATAAGGGAGGGGAAAGTTCCAAGACATAACATTCCAGTCCCCAACAAGAGGAAAGTCAAAGAATTTTCCAGAAAGATCCTTTCACATGATTTAGGAACAATATTGTAAGCCTTGGTTTGAGGTTGATGAGGGTGGTGATAGGTGTCTTTATCTATAACTCATGAAGAAACAAACGCTACAGAACACTTTGCAGGGTAAGTAGCTTTGAGTAGAGTAGGTCTCACCAGTCATAGACTAGCATAGCTGTCTTTGTGAGCCTGCTTCAGTTTGGCCCCACCTGACTCACTAAATCCCCTTAGTCTCAGATGCTTTATCCAGTATTCAGCACGGTAAGATTCTGTGGGTGGGTGTGTCCCCTCGGAACCAGAGTGGTATTCTACAGAGACTAGAAATAGGTATCAACACATCTCCATTCTTAAACCATGAATGATTCTAATCAAAACGCATTATCTCCTTTAAAACTAAAGAGCAACGTTGAGATGTGCAAGTCAAGGATTCACATGGAGTTCAAGCAGCAGATAACTTTTCTGGCTGAAGAAGAACAAAGACAATTACAGAAACTAGAAGAAGAAGAGAGGGCTCAGCTGAGAATTCTGGGGGAGACTGAGACCCAGTTGTCTCAGCAAAGCCAAGCCCTGCAGGAACTGATCTCCGAGGTGGAGCGAAGGAGTCGGGACTCTGCACTGGACATGCTGCAGGTAAGACCAGGGAGAGGCTCCATCTGAGAGTCAAGGAATTAGAGGAGCTAGATCTGGGCCAATAGGCAACATCATGATAGGTGGAGGAAAGATTGAAATTGTCAACTACTTCATACTGGGATCCACAATCAGTACTCTTGGTACCAGCAGTCAGATCAGGAGATACATAGCATTGGGAAAGTCTGCTATCAGGGACCTCTCCAAAGTCCCGAAGCACAGTGATTTCAGTTTAAAGACTAAGGTGTGCCTGTTTCAAGCCATAGTCTTCTGGGAGCTGGACAGTGAATAAGGATGACAGAAAAATCATCAATGACTTGGAGTTGGAGTATTGGAGGATAGATTTGGCAGTCCCAGGTCTGGCAAAAAGACAAACAGGTATCCTAGGGAAAACACAGCTATAGTGCAGCTTAGAGGCAAAGATGGCAAAGTTTTGTCTCACATACTTCGGACCTCTTGTTAGAAGAAGATATTTCTCAGAAAGGCACATCATGTTTGGATACTTGGAGAGGCAGCGAAAGAGAGGAAGACCCTCATTGAGATAGTCTGGTATGGTAATAGGTAATAACAGCTGTGGGCTCAAGTGAGTCAAGGATGATAAGGACGGCACAGTCTAGGACAGGTTTTAGATCTTTTCATAGGGTCACTATCCATTGCACTTGACTGCACTTCACAACAACACGTCCGCCATGTGACTGGTCTTCTTAACAACCACAGTCCACTTGATCCAAGCCATGGTCTTTCAGTTACTTGCTATGCATCTGAGAGTTAAACTGTGACGAAAGGTGACAGGAAAACTGATGCCTTTGTGTTGTGGTGCTGAAGAAGAGTACTAACTGACCTGTGGGCTGCCAAAAGCACCAACAGCTCTGTCTGTCTTGGAGAGGGTGGGGGCAGGGTGCCCCTTAGAGCCTGAGAGATGGTGAAGGGAGGACTTATACACTTTGATCATGTCAGGAAGGTCGGTCCTTGGAACAAAACATCAAGCTTGGGAAAGTGAAGGGTCATCAAAGAAGAGGAAGACCTGCAGTTATATAGGTTGACACGATGACTGTTGCGACGGGCTAGTGTGTGGCAGAAATGAGGAGGGAGGATGACACAGGACAGGGCGGGGTCCAGATCCATCAACATAGAGTCACTGAGAGTTGTCCTTGACCCGAGGGCATCTAACAACAACATGTCTACCTTTAGAAGAAAACAGAACCCTGGTTCTTGGAACATTCTTAAGCAAAGAAGAGTCATGGATAGTTTGCATTCAACATGTAGAAAGGTATAGATTTAGGAGAGAATTATGTCATGCAGCAGAGTTCATGGGTGGTACAAACAATATGTAGAGGTTCGAGACTACCCTGAGGTACCATAGGAGAAAAATATAGCAAACCATTTTTAAAATAATACTTTGCAGCACTCAGGAGCAAGGATCTTTTTAAAAATACTATCTAAAACGGGAGAGGCTAGAGAGCATGCTGAGAATGAACTAACTCAGGCACATGAGAGCAAATACTGTATAGGGCTATTATTGTTAAAACAGAAAGATAACCAGTATGATGTGTATGAATAGCCAAAGAGGGAAAGGGAGGACACAGGGGCCTGAGGAGAGGGTGGGAGTGAAATCACGAGGTCATAGAGCTTGGTGGGAAGAGGGAGCAAGTGGAGAAAAAAGTTAGCCATTGAAACCCCTGCGGAGAACAGTTCTACTCAGACACACTCTGGGGTGCCATAAATAAAAAGTGACTCAGTGGTAACTGGTTTGATTTGTGGTTTGATTCCACACAATAATTCTCAGGAATGGGCATCCCTGGAAAGTGTCTAACACATACTTATTGTTATGTACCATTAAGTCAAAATCAGCTCATAGCTGACTCTCCAGCAGGTTTTCAGAGGCAGATAATCGCACAGGAGAAGATCGCCCATCTATCTGGTGGATTCAGACCACATGCTTTCAGGATGACAGTATAGCTATTTACCAACAGGGCCCTAGAGCTCCCTCTAGTATGTACTGAGGGTGTTTTCTGAGCATCATTTTGTTCATAAATATAGTGAATATTGAAGTACTACTTATCTTAAAGCATTTTTGTGAAATTTCAATGAAAAAATCTCAGATGAGTATCAGATGTTTTGGTTGTTAGGTGCTGTCAGGTTGATTACAACTCCTACCAATACTATTAAAACAGATCTTTACCTTGGCTTATTGTGCTTCATCCTGTCAAACCCCACGGCCCTCAAGGCCATGTGGCAGTCACTGTGGCAGTCTCTTTTGATGAGGGCTTCCTCTCCTTCTCTGACTCTGCTTTTTTGAGCAAGATTTTCTTATCTAAGAACTGTTGTTAGGTACCATCGAGCCACCTATGACTCACAGCGACACTATATACAACAGCCCTAAACCCTACTCTGTCCTGGGCCAATCTTACTGTCTCTGACACACCTCCATCATTACCCTCGTCACTGAATCAATCCATCTCATCAAGGGTCTTCCTCTCCTGCACTGTCCCTCCACCCTCCCAAGCATGACAGCCCTTTCCAAGGACTAGCTGTCATAATTACATGCCCAATATAAATGCCATCCTTGCCTCTAAGGAATACTCTGACTGTACTTCCTCCAAAACATATTTTTAATTATTATTTTGGCAGTTATATTCAATATTCTCGCCAACAGAACAGTTCAAAGGCATTGCTACTTCAGTCTTCCTTATTCAGTGTCCAACATTCATATGCATATTGAAACAATACGGCTTAGGTCAGGCACATCCTGGTCTTTAAACCAATATCCTTGTTCTTTATCACTTTAAAGAGATCTTTGCCAGCAACTTAGTCAAAGAACTAATGTCTTTTGATTTTTTGGCTGCTTCTTCCATGGACGTTGATTATAGAAAATTAAATCCTTGACCACTTCATTCTTTTCTTTAAAGCAGCAGTATATCAAGAGAGAATTATCAAAAATTCAAGCCAGATGCAGGAGAGGACTTGGAGCAAGAGATCTCATTGTCGATGTCAGATGGATATGGACTGCAGAGAAAGCCAGAGGGATGTTTTATTGACTATGTGAATGTATTCAAGTGTGTAGATAACACAGTACAGGTTACACTGCAAATAATGGGAATTCTAGGCAAATCATTTATTCCCAGAAAGATATATATAGACCAAGAATCAGTCATGCAAGTACACAAAGTGATTAAGTGTTGTCTATAACAAGGAAAGGGTGTGCATCAGGATCATACCTTTCTACCACACTTACTCAGTCTCTGTGCTAAACAAATGATCTGAGAAACTAGACTATATGAAAAAGAATATAGCCTAACAAATGGTAGAAGACTCTTTGTTGTTGCTGTGTTCATGGAGCCGGAACCAACCCATAACTGATCCTCCCACCAGTTTTCAGAGGCAGTTAATCACATAGGAGGAGATTTCTCACCTGTATCCAACAGAGCAGCTTTTGGATGAGAACTGCCAGCTTTTAGGATTGCAGTGCAGCTTCTTACCCCTAGGCTACCAGTTCTCAAAAAAACTCATTAACAATCTGAAATACGCCAATGGCATAACCTTGATTGCCAAAAGTAAAGAGGACTTGAAACACCTACAAATGAAGACCAAAGACTAAAGCCTTCTGTATGGATTATGCCTTAACATGAAAGAAAACCATATAAGTCCACATAACTGAACCAATGCATCATGATAAATGGAAGAAAAAACCTGAAGTTGTCAAAGATAACTTTTTCCCCCCCATCCACACTCTGCCTATGGAAGGAGCATTCAAGAAATAAAATTGCATACTGCATTGGCCAAATCTTCTGTAAAAGACTCTGCTAAGAGAAGAAGAAAGGAAGAGGAAAACCTTCAACAGGATGGCTGTGCACACTGGAACAATGGGCTCAGGCATATTAAAATGTGTAGGGATGAGGCAGCAAAGGGCAAGCTTCAGATCTGTGGCTCACAGGCTCTCTGTGAGTCCAAGTTGTCTCTGTGGCTCTTAACAGCACAACAGCAAAGTGTTAAATAAGCAAAGCTGTCATTTTGAGGACAAAGGGCTGGTTCAAGTCTTGTTATTTTTTTAAGTTGCCTCACATACGAGCAAAAAGAGACAATGAGTATGGAAGACCATAGAAGAATTAAGGCCTCAAATTATGAGGATGTTGAAGAATACTAAATATTCCATGGAATGCCAAAAGAACAAACAAATCTATTTTAGAGGAGTTATAGCCAGAATGCTCCTGAAAAGAAGAATGGTTATATTTTGTCTCGTGTGTTCGTAACATACTATCAGGAGGAACTAGTTTCTGGAGAAGGTTCATGCTTAGTAAAGTAGGGGAGCAGTGAGAAAGGACTAGTATAAGGGTTGTAGCGATTATGAAGATGGTGCAGGGCCACGTCGTTTTTCATTCTGCTGTAGATTGGCTCTCTGAGTCAGAGCCTTCTTGACAGCACCTAACAGGAACCTCTCAGTTGCCACATGAGGGATTCCAAACCCCTGCCCTAGAATCATTTGATTTCATATCAGGCAATATTAAGTACAACACTGGCCAGAGCTTTGACCAGCTAAAACTCCTTAAAACATACCCACAAGTAAGAACAGTTTCTTGACCTCCTTAGATGCTCTCTCTGCTACTGTCTCTGAGTTTCAACCAGGCTGAGTTTCATTCACCCTTCTTGATCTGAATTTCTAATTCATTTTATTTCGCTTTTATAATTGTCATTGTTGTGTGTTGTCTAGTCACTTGCAACACATAGTGACCCTATGTACAAGAGCCCTAAACCCTGCTTAATCCTGTGTCGACCTCACTGTCTCTGACACACCTACTCCCATTACTCCGATCACTCAATCAATCCATCTTATCAAGGGTCTTCCTCTCACACTGTCCCTCCACTCTCCTAAACATGATTTTTCATGTTTGTTCTCCTAGCAGTCTACGATATATTCAACACTCTCTCAAGCACCACAGCTCGAAGGCATCAATTCTCTTTCTGTCATCCCTAGTCACCGTCCAGCTCTCCAACACATAACAAGCAATAGTGAAGACTATGGCTTGGGTCAGGCACACCTTAGTCTCTAGCCTGGCATTGTTGTTCCTCACTACTCTGGAGAGGTACCTGATAGAAGCCTAGGTCTTACCCCATATCCCTCCATACATTCTTCTGCTTCAATTTGATCAGAAAGGATTTTGCTTCAGAATGAGACAGAGCAGGGTCCTAGGACCACAGTTTTGTATCCCATCACCCTTATGAACAAAGCCTTAGTGGTGACTCCATAACTTACATTCTCTCTCTTCTCTCCTCAGGAGGTTAAAAGTATCCTTGAAAGGTGAGAGGGGTTTGGATTTGTTTATAAAGGGAAAGATTTCAGGAAGCATCTATACCCATGGAAAAGGTTATTGAGTTAAAAAGAGATGTGCTAAAGATTTCCCCATATCCTGCTCTATTCTCAAAGACCTGATCCTCCATAAAATACTTTCTACTATTATATTTAATGATCATCCCAATTCTTTAGTTGCCCACAGTGATATCTTCCTCACAGAGTGAGCCCTAGCAAATGGGAATTCTGGGAATGTCTAAACCTACTGAGATTTGTTTGTTTTGTAAATGAAGTTTAACCAAATACACACCTATGAAAAAGAACCATGTAATCAGGAATTCCTAGATGGTAAATGAATGATCCACCTTCAAGGGTTGAAGCCAGGAGGTGATTATAACAATGCGTTGACTTATATTATCAAAGTCACATATGAGAGAAGTTGTGGCAGTGGGTCCGTGGAAGGGTGGTAGGGGAGATGGAGATGAGTGTCTCAAACTATTTCCCTCAGGAGTGAGACCTGGGAACTGAAGAAGCTGGACATTGTCTGCCCAGACCCAAGGACTAAGTGTTCTGTGCCCGGGCTAAAGACGATGCTGAGGACGTTCGGAGGTGAGGTGAACTCTAGGAGCTGTGGGCCTGGTCCACCTGGGGAACAGAAAGATACAGTCAGGATGAAGAACTGATGCCCAGGGTTGGGGGAAATGGCAGCATCAGAGATATCAAGTTGAAGTAGGTAGGGCAGGATAGAGATAGCAAAGGTTGTTTGTGGAAAAGTTTAGCAAAGACCAGAGTTAGCTAGACACCATTTCCTCACACACCAAGGCTCAGAACTACTCCCTTACCCTCATCTCATAGTTTACATATGAACAGACCACTGATAACCACCACCTCCTGCCATCCTAGATTCCCCAAGCCTAACTATGGTCCCTTTGTCTGCAGTGCACATCAAATTGGATCCAGACACGGCAAATCCATGCCTCATCCTTTCTGAGGATCTGAGACAAGTGAGATTTGGAGACACCCACCAGAAGTTGCCTGATAACGATGAGAGATTTGATAGTTATCCCATAGTCCTTGGTGCCCAGAGTTTTAGCTCTGGAAAGCTTTACTGGGAGGTCAATGTGACCGGAAAGGAAGCCTGGGACCTAGGGGTTTGTAGAGACTCTGTGCAAAGGAAGGGACCATTTTTGCTCAACCCTGAGAATGGCTTCTGGACAATTTGGCTGTGGAACAAACAAAAATATGAGGCTGGGACCTCCCCAAAGACCTCACTTCACCTTGAGGTACCTCCATGCCAAATAGGAATATTCTTGGACTGTGATTCTGGCACGGTCTCCTTCTACAACATCACTGACGGTGGCTCCCTTATCTACGCTTTCTCTGAATGTGCCTTTGGTGGTGAGCCCCTGCGGCCCTTCTTTAACCCTGGTTTCAATGATCACGGAGGAAACACTGCTCCTCTGACCCTCTGTCCACTGAAGTTGAGATACTAGAGGCCAAGTAATGACTGGTGTCCTTCTGTGGACACTGTCACCTGCTCCCCATCAGGTCCCTCTTAAACACTTGCCCTGCTTCTTTTTCCATTAACACTGAGCCCCAGCATTCCTTACCTAGATTGCATATGATTCCTTCTGATGGGGTCCCAATCTCATCTGGATCAATGGAAAAATATATGCTGCCCTCTCTATGTAATTAAAGATGGGGTTTTCTCTCTGTCCCTACAGCCAATGCTTTGGTCAGATGTGTATTCTTTCTTGCAGGGATGACAAAAGGGCTTTCCAAGAAAACTGTGCCTCAATCTATCCCATTTGGAACTTTCTCATCTACACCTCTGATTACATTCCATATCTGATTATAAATGGCTCCACATTGCCTTTTTTCCTTTTTTTTTTTTTTTTGAAAACCATGTTCCTAAATGAGGGCTGATTTAGGAAGGCCTTAGAGTGCTATGGTAAATATCCAGCCTATTGTATATACCGTACCAAACCTGCACTGTAAACATTACACATGAAATATTTACCACCTTGAAAATTATTAATGTTAATTTCTTTTTTAAAAAAACATCCTTTTATTGTGATTTTAATAAAACTTTACAGAAAAGTTGTGTTTTTATTCATTCCTATTTGCACATTTTGCTCCCTATCCTCCAAGTTCACATTTGTAAAAGAAAAAAATAAATAAACAAATTCATTAACTGTTGTATAAATTCTTCCCTAACTCCACCCTCCCACTGTCCACTTGGTTTGCTTACAAAATTTGTATACGTTGTGTTTCACACTATTCTTTATTCACATTATGTTTCATTCAACCATTCTCATGCATTATGTTTTATGAAATTAATCACCACTGGACCTTGCCCATCATGTGTCTTTGATATTATATACAGTGCTTTTTCTATTCTGGATCACTCTTCTTCCTCTCAAACACTCAAATGCACTGCTGTCAAGCCAGTTCCAACTCATAGCAAACTTCTGACAAGTTTCTGAGGATGTAAATCTTTACAGAGAATACTGGCCATCGTTCCCTTGCAGAATAGCGGGTAGATTTGAACTACCAACCTTTTGGTTAGTGGTCTGATAGATTAGACTCTGCTACCAGGGCTCTTTTCACTTCTACACCTGGAAAATTTGTTCTGTGATTCTAAGACTCTAGATATCTATTGAATTTCTCCTGTAACTCTGTATCTACGATACATATTGCTAAGATAGCACAAATACACTAAGTAGTTGACTTTATGTTATCGTTGTTGTTGTTGCTATTGTTAATGTGCTGTCAAGTTGCCTGTGATCCATAACAACCCTATGTACAACAGGTTTGAAGCCCTCCCTGTCCTGAGCGAGTCTCATTGATTCCTACACACCAACCCCCATTGCCCCAGTTACTGTATTAGTCCAACTCATCTGGAATCTTCCTCTCCTGTGCTGTCCCTCCATCCTTCCAAACACGATGTTCTTTAAATTCTCATAATTCTGCACATTAAAAATTCAAATCAGGGTCTTGACCATGCCCATTCCATGTAAGTAGCCCCATAGTCCTTGGTTCCTTACATACCTTGGCCTGTAGACAATCATCACTTGTTTCTATTTTTTTCCTCTGTTTGTGTATATGTCTATTTAGTTTGCCCTTTCTATATCTCAGAAACATTAAGATTGAGAAATTATCCTACTCAGATATAAGGGCCAGAATGTCATAATTTTAAATAAAATATTTCTTTTCATTGTGATTTTAATGAAAGTTTACAGAAAATTTCTATATTCATTCATTGTCACAGAAGAATTTCCTATTTGGGGGTACACAATTCAGTCTATAATAACACTCCCTGTGGAAACCATTATAGTGACTTGAAAGTCTTTTCTGATTTTGTATCAGAGATGGGAGGTTTTTTGAGTCTTATTATTTCTGCATTGATGTTTCCTCCTCCATAAGAGGGAACCCTTGGTATGGAGTAGCTTTCTAGATTTCGGAATCTCTGGTGTTCACAGACCTAAGACATACATTCTCTGTGTGCACTGTCAATACATTGGCAAGCTACAGTTTCTAAGTACCTGGAGCACTCTGTCCATGGAGAATCAGGTGAAGTTCCTACCAATTTCAGTGTCCTTCAGAGAAATGACATGATTCTACTCTAAAATGTCCCCTTTGTGCACAATTTTTTTTTAGACTTCCTAGACAGATTTCATTAAGTGGGTTCATGACCCAGGAGACTTGCTATCTATTTTGTGAACAAAGATTTGAAAGAATCCTTTGGCTTAGGCATAATGTTTGCCTGCAGTCTACAAAGAACCCTAGTGTGTGGTGCTGTGGCTAGTATGGGCTATGTTAAATTTTGAAAAATGATTGCAGGTAAGGAAAATTTTAGGAATAAGTTCTCTTGATAGCCACCAGAATTAAGGAAGCCTCCAAGGGTGAAAAGGTCAATGCTAATAGGAATATTCTTGCATCAGGCAAGATGAGTCTCTCATCCTCTTAAGCATCTTTCAGGAAAACCTCCTCCTCAAGTGCATGTACTCCCTGCAACAGAGCAGGTCCTCACTTTGAGGAATCTTGAATTTTCATCCCTGTACAATTCCAGTTGTTGCACAGATGTTGAGGACCCTGAATCATGTCCAACACTTTCTCCTGCTACTTGTAGCCTCTTAGAATCCTTTTGCACTCATTTTACCCCTTGGTTTAAGTTTACACAATGCTTTTGGTTGCAATATCATATATTACTATTTTAATAGTGCCAGCTCTAGTGCCAGGCCCACTCTCCCTCCATCCGTTGGATACAGAAAATTCCTTGTTCCTTCAGCAGTCGCGACCCCAGTGCCCCTTAGGAATATCCATATGCCTTGATCTTCTACATGGTGAGCAACGCACTTAAGTAAAGGCTCAGGTCTCAAGGATGTATTCCACTTCTGGCGTTTCTTCCTTATCAGTAGCAATGTGCCCTGCCCTTGGGTAACTTTCTTCCTCTTTTTAATTATATAAATGGTATTTCAGGTCACACCTCAGGGAAGCTCCCCTTACATCAGATTATAGCTGTGAAAAGTTTGAGGAGAATTGCAATCCACATTTAATTTTTTTTATGTCTTAAATATATTTTGGATTGTATTGGTTTTTTAATGTTCTAATTGAAAACTCTACATAGGTTCATGGTAAATAGTTTCCTCATTATTTCTTTTGGTTTAGTTTTGTTTTCATGCACCTTTTTTCTTATATCCTAAGTATATACAAGCCCAGCAGTGTTTGTTAAGATGGCGGTGTCTTGGCCTATTGTACGTAGGGTTGTGCAGAGTGGAAACCAACTTGAAGGCACCCAGCATCAGCAAACGTGGACGTGAGCAGTGTTGCTCTCACTTTACAGTTGAAGGAGGACTTGCCAATAAAATACATTTTCTTTTTCTTTTTATGTTGGGTTCTTTTTGTTGTTGTTGTTTTCATTTTCTTAGTTTCAATGAACATTTACAGAGATTTTGGATTTCCATTCATTGTTTCACTTTTCTCCCTGCCCACCTCTCCCCCCCCCAGGTTGCTCCTCTCTTTGAAAAGTAAAAGAAAATTTCTTTCATTGGTATACAATCCCCCCACCACCACCCCAAGTACTCCATTATGCAACCTTAATTGTGGACTCTTGTGATAACCATAATACCCTATCATATATCACTTTTAAACTGTTCTCTCCCTCATCTGTTTCAATGCAGTATAGATAACTTATCCAGTTTTTCTCAGTCTTACCCCAACCCTCATGTCAGTCCCATTTAACAACAGTAGCACCATGCAGTATTTGTCCTTTTATGACTTAGTTATTTCACTCAGCATAATGTCCTCCAGGGTCACACATTTTTAATAATATTGCATGAGTTCCTTATTTTTCAATGCAGTGTAGTATTCCATTGTGTGAATATACCAAACTTGTCTATCCATTCATTTGTTGATGGGCACTTGGGTGGTTTCCAACTCCTTGCTACTGTGAACAAAGCCGCAATAAACATGGGTGTGCATATATCTTCTTGGGTGGTGGTTATAGTTTCTCTAGGGTATATCCCCAGTAGTGGAATTACTGGGTCAAATGGTATCTCTATTTGCAACTTTTTGAGAAAGCACCACACCACTTTCACAGTGGTTGCACCATTTTACACTCCCACCAACAGTGAATAAGGGTTCCAGATTCTCCACAACCTCACCAGCATTTGTTGCTTGCAATTCTGTTAAATTTTGCTATTCTTACTGGGGTGAGATGATATCTCATAGTTGTTTTGATTTGCATCTCTCTTAGATTTAGGGATTTTGAACATTTCTTTATGTGCTTGGTGGCCATCTGAATGTCATCTTTGGTGAAGTGTCTGTTCATATGCTGTGCCCATTTTTCAATTGGATTATTTACCTTTATCTTGTTATAGTATAAAACAAATTTTCTAAAGAGCAAAGGGTATTTTTTCTTTTTCCATTTTTTTAGTGGAAGTTACATATCATTGGTTTATCATTTGATTATTCATCCACCTTTCATTTGAACATACATATTTTGTGTTATAACACAAGTTACAATAGATTAACATAAGTAATTAATTAAGTCTAAAGTCATTATCAAATAGAACTGTTAATATACCAGGTTGTTATTGCTGTGTACTATTGAGTCAGGACCAATTCATAGATGACGCTTCATCGAGTTTTCAGAAGTAGTGAATCACACAAGAGTTGACTGCTCATCTTTCTCCTGCTGTGAAGTTGGTGGATTTGAAGCATGTTCCTTTGGGTTGGCAGCACAATTCTTTGTCATTAGGGTACCAGAATATGCCAGGATTCAAGTCTGTTTCTGATGGAGAAATTCATGTTCTTTCTTTTCTTTACTGCAAGCTAATTCACTTTCCTCCTTTTAATGTGCAGTTATTTTAGAGTTCACAATCTTCTTCTACATGTCCTTTTTTTTTAAATGTTCTTTCTTGAACATCAAATGTTCCAAGGTTTCATCATGAGCCTGACTCTTTATTACCTTCAAAGTTACTACAAGTAA